TAACCTCACAGACAGATTAGTGTAGGACTGTTGTATGCTACCATAGCCAGTTCTAACTAATGCTGCTGTAAGTGAACCAATCAGGGTGCATCTAGACTATGCAGACAATCTGTGTGAATGTTGTAGACATGCCACTTGATTCGGTATAGTAGGATACTCGCTGGACACAACTATTGTTAGAAAATTAGGTGTCGGTCAGATACATGCTGTGGTAGGATTCCACTAGGGGATTCTAGTGCAGAAACTATCTACCTAACTAATGAGTGGATCAGATCCTGTTGATGATAGAGCAGACAATAGAAGACTTACACGTGCAGATGCACTAAGGGTTCCGCACGTGTTCAGGACCTTGGACGAGGGAGAAGAAAGACGACTTCGTGCCGAACGTAGAGCCCGTGCTCTAGCAGCAGGACTACAGGAAGCAAACAGAGTAGCAAGAGAGCGGGCAACAGCAGCCAGAGCAACAGCAATGGCTAACGGTACCAGCTCTGCTGTGTCATCGCCTGCGTCCTCGTCAGGGAATAGTGGGACTCAATTGGGAATGCCAACGAGTTCCACGAGTTCCTCGGGCACTTCCGGTTCAACAGGGTCTAGACAGTCTTCTAGTCAAATTGCGGGTTTGCAGTTCAGCCCGTTGACCCCGCGTGAGAGGGAGCTCAGGCTCCCCCAACAGTTAGAGGAGGATCTGAAGAAAGCAACCGATAGAGAAAAAGAGATAAAAAGTAGAGCAGCCAGACTTGATACGTTAGAGGCKGACAAGGCTGCGTTAGAGGGATTGGACGAATCAAGTTTGTCTGACCCCCTGAAAGTGTTGAGGGACAACATGTTGTCACTGCATGCGCAYGTGGACAGCAGGATGGACTTCATGCAAAGCACTTTGGACCAGATCCTGGATGCATTGACAAAGCCAGGATTCCGGCCACCAGCACAATCGTCGTTGCCATTAACGGCGATGTCAGGCCCCTTTGCCGTACAAGCTGGCACACAGCCAAGTGGCACATCCGCAGCAGCAGCACAGACTGTTGCATCTTCTTCTTCGGGTCCAGTGGTGATTGCTACATCACCACAACAACCTGTTCAAACAGCCGCAAGGTCAATGGTATCCAAAGACCCCAATGAAACCACCTCTTGCCTTCTCAGGCGAGAGAGAGGACGAGGAACTCAACACATGGTTGAGGACAGTCCCGGTTTGGGTGAAGGCCAAAAGGACCTTGCCTGA